ATGGAGAAGCCGAAGAGGCGAGCGCACCGCAGCCACTGACGTTCTGCAGAGTGGAACCGTGGAACCCCCCAAAAAGACGGGGCATTTGCAGAGAAACCTCTGTTTGAGGACTCCTTTTTGGGTTCCATGTGACTTTAACCGGGGGGGGTATGTTCCACGCCAGGGGATTGTTTTTGACAGACTTCAATTGAGCAACTGACAAACATACTGAAAGTTCAGTGATTGTTTTGGGCAGCACAGCATGGGAGGGGTGCCACATGTTCCGCAAAACACCGGTGCAACACCACCCAAGTTTCCCATCCCCGCTTGGGGAAGCATTTTTTGTCCTGAGCTCAGAATCCCCTTGGTAACTTTTCTTTGTTCGAAATCTGCAAAGTCTGAGGAAGACTTTTGCAACATGGTGTCAAAGAGAAATGCATTGTCTTCCGTGATGTCAGCCTAAGGGGTGTTTGAATTGGCAAGTTGTCCCTGACTCATGGCAAGCGACGGATTGAAATGGAGATGCCTGCCAACTTGCTCTTGACGACAGGACACACAGCCTCGTTGCATTCGGTGCATCGCTTGCCTAGGATGGGCAACTTCCTGTTCCAGCCGCAAGCGTGCTGTGCTGAGGTTGTTGCATGCTGCAGTCGGGTAACAACACCAAGATGCTCAGGGAGGTGGAGCAGTCGAGAAGTGATTAGTTGAAGCTAAAAGGGGCAACCTTCGTGCATCATTGGCAGCAGCTCTGTCGCATCGCACCTAGGAAGAAGCAACGATCTGACCTCCAGCAGTGGAGACTGGACAGAGCGCGCGTTCCTTTGCGCTTGTGTCAACATGGGTTTGGGTGCCTGTTTTTGAGGCTGCCTTGTTCAGGTTGGTTTAAAGGCAAACCACAAGGGACACCACCATTCGGGGGTCCCTGTACTTTGACGCACACCTATGTGTTTGCTTAGGGGTCAAGCACCAAGATGCGTGCTTTTGCTTTGGATTCCACCCCAGCACGGGGCCATATGAAGCTGCTTGTAATAGCATGTATGTACCATCCCGCACACTGACATAGAACCTTGCTGGGGTTCCCAGAAAGACTCATTTTTGCCGGGATCTGGGTTCCATATTCGGAATGGGGGAAGTATTTTGACGCTTGGGATGTATTGATGAAGGCTGCGGCTTGGGCCTGTTGGCCATTTATCAGAACTGGGTGGTCCCTAGATGTCCCACAAGTTGATTAAAAACCCCAAAAGGACTGAAGGAGAACCGGGGGGGGGTGATTTTTAAGCGGAATTTCTGGGTAAGTCTGGGGATGGTTTAATTGTGTTTATCCCACCAATTTTTGACACCCAGAGAATCCAAGCGGACATTGGCGCAGTTCGCAAGCGGATGAATGAATTCCCTTTGGCAAGGGAACAAGGAACATCCCCATGTGTTGCCTGGATGTGTCATTTTTGAGAGTATCTCTTGCTTCGTGTGTGTATTTTGCTGAAAAGCCAACAAGAACAAGGAAAGCCGTTTGGGTTTTCTTGGATCTGTGCTTGGGAACGGGAATCTCCGCGCCGGAGAGTTTTGACCTGTGGCTTCTCAAGGAGCGCCAGCATCGCTTGCCGGCTGCAATCAGCGCATTCAACGGAAACGCCGTCACTGCCAAGCACTCAGATTTCTACGTGCTTCCTGTGAACGCAAGCTTGAGGTAATGGGCAAGGCTTCCTTTGCTGGCACCCTAATTTTAATAAGCCCTGGTCGATGAGTAGGGGTGTTAGATCTTGGAGGGGATCCTGACTTGCGCGGCGGAAGAAGTCTCCTCTTTCATCCGCTGGGTGCATTCATCGGGGTAATCGTGGCACCTGGCAGTGGTGGTACAATTTGTTCAAAGCTTGGGACTCCTGAACCGTGATAAGCCAAATGCTCCCTCACACAGGAATCTCGCATTTGGGAACTACATTTTGGGGGCTCCGGCTGGTTGCTGTTCACTAGGTAGGGCTTTGCCACCGAGGTCGTCAAAGGAGAGGAGACTTGCGTGACTGACCATTCAGAGGCAAGGCGGCGTGTCTTTTTGAGAGTGCTTTGGGGGAGCGCCCGCATGCTCCTTGCTGAAACAGGGTACTACGAATGTTTGGCAAAGCCAGTTTGGCCCAAAAAGCAGCTTTTCAGCTTTTGGACTACTGAGCAAAAGAGCAATTGCAACACGTTTGGCTCAGTCAGAAACATGCTCCCCTACCCAACTTGTAGTCCCTCTCGCACCTGGCCCCACTGCGCCCACATGCTTCCCACAACTCCTGCCTACTCCAAGCACGCCAAGCCAACAGATATCCCGCTCCACGCCTAGAAAAGCCAGGGATGTCCTGAGCATTTTTTAAGTACGACGCCAGCAAAGTTTGAGCGGAAGCCCTGATTGCACGCCAAAGAACAAACCAGTGCTTGAATTTCCACCTGATTGCCCCTGATTTCCCATGATTTCAACTTGAATTGAGTCATACTCAACACCTGGCATTAAAATGGACCCAGGTGGGCGATCAAAAGGCGGCTCCCGTTTGGGATATTCGTGACGTGGAGATACGTCGGCCAAACCCCGGGGCTTCTCCGAGTATGTCACGCCGGCAAAATGACAGGGCCACCCTTGAGCGTACCATGCCAACAGAAGAAGTGTTTTTTGTCGTTTTTTTTTTTTTTTTTTTTTAAACGTTCGGAACGTTCGGTGATTCTTTATCTTGGCTTCAGACGATAGGATTCGCTACTCTGCCAAGAGTCGGAAGATTTTGGGACCGATTCAGAAAGTATTTCAAAAGGTGTGCGAACGCGAGCGTTGCCATGGTGAACGAGCTGGCAAAGGTAGGGAATGCTGCGCACCGCTTGGCAATGACGTGGCTACGGAACATAGCCCTTGTTTGCTATGCGAAAGTGGACCATCCCTGTGACTTCCTCTTGATATGACAGAACGTGGGCCAAGACTTTTCAGAAGTCATGCTCCAAGAGTACTGGCGCGATGGCGTCCTTCCTTTGAGTGAAGCGTCCCCAAAGAGGATGCCTAGTTCCTACACCCAGAGGGTCCAAGTACTTCCTGAGGATGGCTTCTCGGGAGGTAAAAAGGGGTCCAAGTGCCTCCTTAGAAGATACTTGGACCCTCTACATGCCCACATGGCACCGGTCAACGACGGGTGCAGATCCTGGTCAGGTGGTCTCCAGATTCTTTTCAGATGTCCATGCGCCTCTGCTGGACATCATCCCCACCGAGGCGCGGCTTGTTTGCCAAGTGGAAGCCCATGGCAAAGCCCCGAGAGATATTCAGAAAGTGTTCAGCGAGGGCCGATGTGGATGTGTGTTGATGGAGGCTGCCCTTTTCAGGCTTGTTGTGAAATGCTGCCCTCTTCGGGCTTGTTCTGTCCCATTTTGAAGACAAATTAGTTGGGAAACAGGGTCAATTTCGTGATTGCATTGTTGGGAAGTTTTAAGTATTCGGTTGACTTACCAGCAAAGCAGTTGACTTACCAGAAGCAGAGAAGCAGGATAAAGGCATTCACGGTGCTCATGCTTGGGGATGCTTTTTGCCGGTAGTTGAGTTGCACCTTCACGAACCTAGGCCCGGCCATGAAGGTACCTCCTACTGTAGGTGTTGGGGAGTATAATTCACCTCCATTGGCCGACTGGACCTTGCTTTTGATTCCCTTCCAATACCCGAAAGTCCTTTGGGGGTCCAATACGCTTTGGATCACGGCTCCAAACATACTGATAAAACCATCCCAAACACGGTACCATCAAGCAGACGTACCCACACAGACGTACCCACAGCTCGCAGCGTTTGCGCTATAGGAACGAGAAACAAATCAACGGCCAGAGAAAGGAGCCTCCCAAAAAAGCGCTGGTCCTTGTCTTCACACACACTTTTTGAGGGGGGGGAGGGGTGAAAGTGAACTTGTTGTGGAGGTTGTCTTCACACACTTTGTTTTTTTTGGGTTTTGGCAGCACCCGTTTGGTGCGGATCGCGAGGAGCGCAGTCAGCCAGTGGCGGACAAGAAGGTGGGCGTTGTCTTCTGCGGCCGCCAGGCCGGGGGACCCCAGGGCAGTCAGGTGGCTTGTGCCACAGCGATTTCGTTGGCCGGGCGTGTGAAATGCTCACCGGCAGTTTGGCCATAACCAGATGTTGCAAGTTAACCATATATACATATATATGATAACATATATATATATATATGGCTTACCACAATTTGCGACAAACAGGGTGTCCGGCGTGTTCCGAACACCATCGCTGTAGTTTTGATGGGCTTGCACCGTCAAAATGGACCACGACAAATCGATGTAGATATGTAGAGCTTGAAAATTTCTGGGACCACGACAAGATACTACCTGTGACACTAATGGAGGGAGTCCCGATGTATTTCTCCTAAACCAAAAGGCAAGCCCTGCCAGCTTGCCAGCTGCCACCGAGCATGGACAAATTGCGGCATGTTACCATTTGGTAGTGTTGTTGGTTTGGCACACTGAATAAACGTTTTATTGGTAGATGCCATTAACATTTAGTCGAGGTCTCAAGGGTCTAGTGACTTTTTCTGGCCGCATCGTCAGTGCAAGAAGCAGCATGTGCTCCAAACTTGCGATGGCTGGAGCCCGAGTACCTCCCAACAACGTGAAAAGAGCAGGGGAGGCGCGATCCCCAGAATTCAGTTGTCAAGAGCCAGCACCATGTTGCAAAGCTTCAATGTGTCTGCGTGCTAAACGGGGCCGTTGCATGTTGCTCTTCTCTTTTTGCGTGCAATTGGCGGAAGTAAACCGCAGTCGGGACTTGCTGCGTTCAGGTAGGGTTTATGGGTCACCGACCCTCCTTTTCGGTTGGATAATTTTGATTGGTGCACCCGGATTTCATAGGGGATTTGCGCCTTTGAGAGGGGATGTGTGCTTTTGATGAAAAAATACATTACGAAGTCCGTTTACCTAGCGTTATTTGTCAACTACAAACTTGTCTCAGGTAATATCGTTTCCCATTTTTCTGGAAGCAAGGATCTTTAGATTTGAAGTGATTGGGAAGTGCAGTGGATGCGCTATGTGTTGCAAGTGGGGATACAAAAGGGAACCATGCAGCTACCGGATGTGGTTGGTTCGCTGGCAAAACTCAGGGAATTGACCGGTTCGGATATGTTCAGCCATGACTCCAACCGATTGCTTGCTGATTTGCCGATCCTTTGGGCAATGCCCCTTTGGATCCGTTTGGGCGTTCATGCAGTCAGAATCCCGGGGGCGTACTGCTGGAAGTGCCTGGCAGCGCGCGCAGGCGCCGGGCTGTCATGACTTCGTGTGCGGCCTGGTGGACATGATGCAGGGAGCTCGGGAGGTTCAAGGCGTTGAAAGCGATTGACCGCAGCGACTCACGGTATCAACGAATCGGACACTATTGTACAGGAAGGGTCCAGAAAGCATTTTCTTGGTGGCTCCCAGCCAGCCCCTTAGCTTTTTAGCTTTTTAGTTTTTTAGTGTTTTAGTGGGGTTTTCAATTTAGCCCACTAAACAGGCTCTTTTAGCGGGGGATCTGAGGACAGCCTAGTTTTTGAGGAAATGCTGGCACAAGTCAAACCGGTTCCCGCAAGCCAAGCAGCCGCAGGGGAAGCCTGCAAGATGGAGCCTCCAAATAGCGCAAGGCCCACCAAAGATCCCGTCGTTTTGGTTATTCACACCTCTTCCCATTCTTTTGTGGGGGAACGGGGGGGGGGGGGCGGGCAAGGTTTCCGTGTTGAAGATGTTGGAGGTTTCTGTTTCCAAATGTTTCCCCAAATATTCCGCCTGGAGATGTCCACCATAGTCAGAAGCGCCCGCATAGTTGCCGTTTTATTTCAGGAGTTGTGCTGGTTTCCGCCCTGCCCGGGAGACAGACGGGGGGGGTCGGGGGGAGGAGGGGAGTCAGGGTCGCAGAGGTTCCGATTTCTTGGAGCCCATGGAACCCATTCGTTGCCCGAGGGCTTCACCCAGGCTTCCCTTCGGCCCGCATTTGAGCCACAAGCAAAACCCGGATGGATGAAGGTTAGTGAGCAGTCCCAGCCGGAAATAGCTGCGTCCACCTTGCTATTTAATGGGTGTGGCTCAAAATGAAAGAGCTAGGGTTACGCATGTTTCGGTCTTTGTCTCCATCCAAGGGGCCCAAAAATGGGTACCGCTTTTTGAGCCACAGCCATTTCTCTACACGGTCTTGGGTTCAACCATGTTTGTACCAGCTTTTGATGACTCGTTTCGGGGCAAGGCCACCGAACTTCGGGAACAAAGTCTTCGGCTTTGTGGGCGGCACCCATGGCTTCCTGGACAAGCAGGCGCACGTGGATCACGAACATCAGATCTGACTTCCCGGTTTTGGGCTGTGCTTGGAAGGGAGAACAAAGGGGAAGTTGGCCTTATATTTCAAGGAAGGGGGAGGGTTGCCCTATTTCGAATCAAACTCATGGTTCCTCAAAACTCAAGTTATGGATTTTGCAGCTATGGAGGTGATGCACCACTTGTAGCCGGGATACATAGTGTTGCGTTCTGAGCAAATACTGATGCCCGGTGGCATGCAAGCATCCATACCTTCAAACCCATACCTGGAAATGCCCTTTACGCTTCGTCGGCTCTTTTTTGTGGGGATCTGGTGACCGACCATCCGTTTGGGAAGCTTTTTTGAGGCCGTCGAGCTCACTCCAGAGATTTGCGCGGCATTCCGTGGAACAGGCGCGAGCGCGAAAGCGAGAACGCGAAAGCTGGATTCTTTGTTGAACCCGCTTGGTTCAGGAATGGCGGAGGGCGTAAATTGCACAGAGGAACAAGAGCAATTGTGTAAATCATATATATATATATATATATTATACATTATTATACATATGTATACAGGACTTCACCAGGGTGTATGATTGGATGCAGTTGGTTCAGTTGTATTTGCTTGGCCTATGCACTGTATCTCACCATGCTCAGCACAGTGGTTCCCAAAAGTTTACTCTTTTTTTAGGGGGTTTTCAGGTCGTTTGGACAGGTCAGGTGGAGAATGTGAAACAGTTGGCAGCCCTGCAAACAAGGTATTCTCACATTCTGGGGCTGAGCTTCGTGATTCCTTTCATAGGAACCGAAATTTGAGTTGTGAGCAGATCCCAACAAATTTAAGATGCTCAGCTTCAATGTTTAGGACATTGATCCCCAAGCATCGAACCCCGAGTTTTGGAGCATGCAGAACAGGGGACGCCTAAAATTGTTGGCTTCCCCTATCAAACCCAGTGTTGACTGCCCCTTCCCGGTTTTGCTTTACGAGTAGGACTCAAAGGGAAGCCACTCAAGCGGGTGCGTTTCTTGTCGGAGCGCAGTACCCTTCTCTGCGGGGTGTTTTTGAAACGAAAGGGCGACCGAGGCCTGCTGAGGAATATGGAGAGAATTTGAAGGTACCAATCTGGTTGTTTAAGCTACAAAATCGGGTGCCAGGGCGAACCCCTGACCTCCTCAACCTTTGGACACATCTAAACCCGAGGCGGATTGGACATGTCAGGGCCTCAGTATGCATCAATTGGACTTTGCCGCGGCCTGCAAACCTGTTCAGCTGGCGACCATGAAATCGCCCATGCTTCCGATAAAGACGGGATATTCAACACCCGGGTTTGGTCCGTGGTCGTCAGATGTCTTCACTTGCAAGGTCCAAAAGTTGTTGCCACCTTCTTTGGCCAGATCTCCAACTCAGGTTGGCAGAACCATGAAAGCCAAGGTTGGGAAGAACCGTTGACCGCATCAACTCCAAGGCCGTGATATGAGATTCGGACAATATTCACAATCATGTACTGCAGACAGGCGAATGACATTGGATGCAGCCACTTGCCACTAGGAACTGGTGGTTACTCACCAAAATCCAACTTTGTTGGGGCACACAATAAATATTGACTGTGGCCCATATTCTTCCTTTGGGTTTGGAGGTGTTTCAATCCCTTTGAAGTCGACCAACAGTTTTGGAGGGTCTCCCTGTGACTTGCACTTCCTTTGTGCTTGCCGTCGCCTGGTCCTTGTCAATGTTGGTGTAAGAGTCAGTGCACTCCTCTTGGGCCAACGGCAGGAACATGACAACTTGGCAATTGGACAACTTGGTATCCCTGATTCGTTTCGCCCTCCGGCTCAGCTCCTCGAATGCGGATTTTCCTCGGGGGCCCCTTCTATGGCCGTGTGCTACGGATCGTTTGGAGTTTGGACGCCGTCAAGCGGCCCCCCAGCTGTTTCCTCCAGCCACGTGCGGAAAACCGGGCTGTCGCTTTTAGAGCATCCGTTCGTGCCGCGAGCAATGCGGCTGTAGAGCTTCTTCAGCGTGTTCGTGTTGATTGTTCCACCGAAAGCCAAGAAGAGGTGGCCAGTGGAACCAGTTTACTGTTTTGTGAAGGGCTTTTTTTCAATAAAGGTGTCCCTTTTGCCCTCCAACGAGGGGTTCCCCATATGGCTCCATCCACCTTGTCTGCGTATCCAAGAGGCCTCCCACTTGGCTTACAGCGCGCGATCCAAACGCAGGATGAGTCCGAGAAGGCAAAGCAGACCTGCCAGGACCCGACGGGTTTCATGGCCCCAGAGCGTCCCTTGGTACCTCCTGAGGATGGCTTCTGGGGGGTAAAAAGGGGTCCAAGTGCCTCCTTAGAAGGTGCTTGGAAATTGTGGGGTAGGCTTCTGAACTTAGAATACTCTCAAGCAAGAACAATGCCCACCCAACAGTCTGTTGATTGTTTATTCGGGACCCTTTTGTGGACATCACTTGCGTCGTGATTGACAACCTCCTCAAATTGCGGTTTCGAATTCTTTGGATCCCCTGTGACAGGCGGCAAAAGGTGGGGTTGAAACCTGGCCCGGACTTGTGACCGTGCGGTGCCTCGTGTGCGTCGCTAGGAGTTGGATTTGGACGGCTTGGTTCTGGTGGGCGGCGCCCGTGCAGCCCTTGGATGGGCGCAGGTGCGACAAGGGAGGCCTCCCGCTGAAGCGCCTTGCTTAGGGAACAGGGAAACCAACTAGCAGGGATACAGGGGGAAGCAGGGACACGGGAGGATTCCCCCTAAATGCACCTTGACTAAGTTTGATATGGGAAATGGCGCCAAGGGAATCCCCCCGTATCCCCGCTTTCTCCGTATCCCCGCTTGTTTGTTTGTCCAAGGGAATTTGGGAATGACCCACCTCCAAACAATGGATACTTGCAGGCCACGCTGGGGTTGTGTGCCAGATCAAGAACAACCAAGGTATGTTGGCATGAGCTTGACCACAGAGAGAGAGAGAGAGGGAGAAAGGGTATTGTACTGTGCATCGCTGTGCTGATGCTGTGTTGTGTTTCTGTTGGTGTTGGTGTTGATCATATCGTGTGTTGCGTTGTGCTGCCGTGTTTGGCGTTAGTATTAGTGTTTGTAGTTTAGTCTGGCGTGTAGGTGTTTGTGTTTGTGTTTGTGCTTGTAGTCTGTGGTATTGTGTTCCTGCTTGTGCTTGAGCCATGCTTATGTCGTGCGCATGTGTCATGTTCAGTATGTGTGTGTTTGTGTTGTGGCGCCTGTGTCTTTGTGTGTCTGTGTGAATGTGTATGTGTGTGACTGTGCCTTTGTGTCTCGGTGTCTGTGTTTCTCTTCTGGGTTTTTGTTGCACGAGTGCACGCGTGGAGCTGGCATTTGCAAGGCACCAGCACGGATGCAGCTTACTTGGCCGAGTACTTCAGGCAGCAGAAGGCGAGGGTTACACCGTCAAACTGGTTTGTGGTTAGCACTCCCACGTATAAATGCTGTTCACCAAAGGGTCCCAAAATGCTGTTGGTGTCCCTAGAAGGTATCCTGCAATAAAGAGGTGCGGGAAGGACTAAACGTGAACAAGAGTGAGATGTGCATCTGCGCAGATATGTACGCGAATGTGTGTGTGTGTGTGTACAGAGTTTGGTACGTACGTATACTCAGAATGCAGATGTTGCAGATGCCGCCAAACAATGATAATCATGGTTATCGTCTATCGTAATTACAATCCACCCGCAACGTTGCCTACTCGTATCGCTCCAACGTTTGAACCACTGCAGAAATTCAAATCAAGGGATTTTTTTCGGGATTTTCGTTGCCAGGTGAAGACAGCGGTGGTGGGCGTTCCTTGCGGCATTGAGGGGAGCATGATTAACGAGTTTGTGGAGGCGCCCGGGCCTTAGCTCAAGCTGGTTGGGTTGGCGCGCCCTGACTGCGCTGTCCGAGAGTGGGATGAGAGCAAATGAATCAACCTGCCGAGCCCAAGTCCCACTTGTGCCTGAGCCAAGTTAGGTCAGCGTTCGCTCTTGCGTTTTGCTTGAATGACGGTGTCAGAATAGATTTGATTCATAGGTTTGGGGGGAAGCATTGATAAAGAACAAGTAAAAAGGTTTAGGAAAGCAACGCAAATGCTCCAGGTTCCAGTGGACACCCTCAGAGCTGTCTTCAGTTGACTTTGATTTCACTTGGCAACTGTCCAAAAGGGCCGGGGTTACGCTTGAAGCAGACCCACCGCTGGGCCACTGATAAGCTGCCCACCCCTTTTGGGGGCACGCAAATCAATCTAGAGGCTTTTTCCGGGAAGCGCTGCCAAGGGTCGTCTTAGGCTACCTCATTGGAAGGATACGATCAAACATGACGTGAGAATCACTCGCGGATACGGGCAAGCCGGGAACCGTTTTTCTCTTTTTGGGCTCTGTCTCGTCCCTAAAGATTCCTCGCACGAACTAAGCAATTTTCGGGCCTCAATGTTTCCCTGCGCAACCTCACTCCAAAACAACCACAGAAACCCCAGTGGCCCCTTGGTTTCCCTGAACCTGAAAAATACAAGCAGCAGGAATCCTTTTAAAACAACCTATCTCTATCAACACCACGAGAATCCGTTTGGGTTTCCCACCTCACGGGTGCCAACTCAACGGACAGCCAGCGAGGTCCTTGGGCTTTGACTCCAACGCCAAAGCCATGGCACAGCTCGTGGGGTCCACGGTGAAAGAATTCTGCTTGCAGGATTGGTTCCTCCCACAAACATCGCATCCGTGAGGGTAGGGTACCTGGAAGATCAGTTTCCTCTTGAAGGGACCCCTGCTCAGATGCCATGTTAGTGGGAGGGAGGGTAGTCAAGCAAGCTGAAGCTTTGTGTGTGTTTGGCGCAGGTGGTTCCAGGTTGGTTCTAATCGGGTACCAGTAATTATCATCCATCTAGTTTCCCAAACAACAGGGCCCTCAGAATTATGCTTGTTGCTATCTTCTGCCGTTTCTGTCTTTGGAGGAATGTGGGTGTGTGGTCCTTTCAAGACTACCTGTTGCACGTTACTGCCGGGGCAAACACCACTGAAAGAACAGGGATTTTCTCTCCCAGAACCGCCAAGCATGTCCCCAAACGACATGTCTACTGTAGCAAAATAAGGGTTTGTTGACGCATGAGCTGTCCCTTGGAAAGGAACGCGTTCCAACTCCAATCCTGAACAATTCCCAACCTGGGAAATCCTCGGATGAGTTTGATCGATTACCGAGCGGTGCCTGGAGAAGAGCGACACAAACTGGTTATGGTAGCCTCTTCAGGAATGGTTGGCTTTGCTGAGGTCACCTTTTCGCAAAAGCGAGTGGAGACATCGACATATGAATCGTCTGACTGATGTATTAGGAATATGGGAATTGCCGCTTTCGCAACACATGGGTCCGAATATGAGCGGTGGCTGGTGGAGTTGTTCCTACTTTGCCTGCTAAGAACAAACAAATGAGGGGGGCAGCATTCTTGTTTGATGCTACCTCACAGGTGAATGTTGTAGCTTGACAACAACTTCTGCGGCAGCATTGCTAGACTTTGGCATTCGCTGGGCAGATGTTGGGATGTTTGCTTGATCCAACTAGTCTCCGCAAGTCAGGGTTGCCCCGTGTTCCAGCCTGTGACTGACCGAATCCACCATTGGGGACAACTCAAGTTGGCTCTGTTGAATTCTCAATCTAACAAACCAACCGCATGTCTTAGGTTGTCATAAATAGGATCCTCTCCAAAGGCGGCTCGTAATGTCAGCAGGGCCCTCTATGGTCGACAGCAAGCAATGAAATGTGGTCCATGTAAGGAGAGTCAGGGATTCCCAGCATCAGCATAAAGTCATGTGCGTTTCCCTTCAAGAGGGAGGCATCAGTTGCTTGCACAATAAAAAAGTAACACCAGCCATCAGCGGCTGAAATTTACATTATTAAAGCAACATGTGTACCAACTGGTTGACATAAGTTTGGATGTCCACCGAACAGGATATCTAGCCCGGTAGCATGACCCCGGACCAAAAACGCTCGTTGCAGGTGGGAAACCTGGACCAAAAACTCTCGCTGCAGGTGGGAAACACCGCTATCGACGGTGGCAGACTTAGAACAGGGTTACGCAGCCTAGGATGTTAAGGAAAGGAAGTATGGAATGTTGGCCAAGCTCAATTGCTATGTTGGTGAATGTTATCTACTACGAACCTTTGGCCTTTGGTGTAGGGAAATTTTGGATATGTTCTACAGTAGATTCTAGACAAGTGTCAGACCTTGAATGAAAGGCCTGTAGTCGAGTCGTGGATGCTGTCTGCAGGAAATCCGCAGGAAACCAATCACAATAAATCTGAGGATTCCCTTGTTTTTCTTTAGATACTAAGAGGGGATTCTTTACTTGGCGGCAAAGCCAGATCCGCACAACTCTGAGAGCTCACTTGTGCTTGCGGTGCATGTCTGGAGCGCGGCTGTGCTGAGTGCTGGGCAAGTGTCCGACGCCTTTGGACCGAGGCAATGGATTTCCCCCGCATTGGTTTCGCAGGATTTTTGGGCGGGTTCGGGAAGCCCCTGGAAAAAAAGGACGGTTTCCGTGTTTCTCATGAACAGCCATGAGGAGGGGTCTCAAAATTGGACACACCCATGTGGCCAATGTGTCAAGATGGCAAACGAGTGTCCCAGTGCGTGCCTTGGTCCATTGAGGTTCCAGCGCTAGGAAGTATTATTACTTCCTGAAGCTGATGGATGGTTCTACCACAGGAGGCAGGATCGGTTTTCCGCACCGGCAGGCCTTTTGTTTCAACAGCAACAAGTGTACCTCATGATACCTCATGCGTTCTTCTTGACCGCAGAAGATGATTTGCAGCAATTGGCAGAGATGTGCAACTGAACATGGCATGGCAACGAGCCACTCAGCAAATTGGAGATAGCCTGGCACCGGCCAGTGATTGCTGTGTCGCCGAACAAATTGATCGCTGGTGGCATGGTTCAAGATTCAAGTTCGCAGCGTGCTCTCAGCAGGGTGAAGTAAACTGTGGGCATCTCTCGGCTTGGGGAGATGCCCCGTTCCAGATATGTGTGTGTGTGTTCTTGCGAGGGTTCCCTGAGCAAAATAGTTTAAAATGGTATCAAACAAAAGCCGCCGTTTTGGGGATCCCTCTATGTTGACGCACACCTATATTTCACTGGGTCAGGACCTGCGAAGGTGTACATTTGTGGACGAAGCAGTGAACAAGGAGCGTGTTTGGTTGTTCAATTCTGACCTTTAAATTTTGACATGTGTTTTTTTCTTTCTGTTTTTTTTTTCCGTTCTTCCCATGTTAGTCCTGGCCCAAGGTGAAACTCAGTGGCCAAGACTTTCAATGGGGAAGACAACCTAAAAAACAACACAGACCTACATAGGGAACCTCCGTGTAACGGGGCCATGTATGAGACCCCTAACTTTGAAAGCTCCATCGTGGTAGAACCCATATGCCATTGATGTTGGCTGCATGTTTGTCTGTCTGTCCGTCTGTGTGTGTGCGTTTGCCCGTCTGTCTGCCTGCCTGCTTGCCTGTTTGTCTGTCTGTCTGTCTGTCTGTCTGTCTGTCTGTCTGTCTGTCTGTCTGTCTGTCTGTCTGTCTGTCTGTCTGTCTGTCTTTCCGCCTGTCTGTTTGGTTTTGAAAATACCCTTGCTCGGTTCCATCTGAAACCAAAAGGGCAATCACCATTGTTTGGGATCCCTTTGGACACGTGCCCATTTCCATCTTAAAAGAGCCGACAGCTTTTTCTTGGGTCCCCTATTTTGCTCCATGCCCATTTATAGCTTTATAGAACCAACAGCTCTTTTAGTGGGACGGTCCACATCCCTGGCCGAAATTCCCCGTGTTTCCCCAGGCAAAATAGCTTGACTTGTTCTTTTTCTTTTTCTCGGGGGGGGGGGGGGGGGCGGGGAAAACGGAGATCCCTACGCCTTTTTTGTTGTTTTGCTCGAAAAATAGATGGGTTTCCTTGGTTTACCTGGTGGTTTTTGCTCATCTACCAGGGGAACCCATCTATTTCACCTAAAAGAACCGCCTAACAGGATTTTATTCATTTTTTTGGGGGGGAAATCGGAGATCCCTACGAGCCGCCTCCCCCCGCGTTTCCCGCGTTTCCCGGTGAGGCAAAGTGCCCACCTCGCACGTGGCCCTGGAAGTGGCGCTGGAGACCAAGCCCAACTTGCTGCTGCTCACCGAGGAGGCCTCGTGACCCAAATGTCGTGACCCAAATGGAGTGTAGATCTGGTGATTTCCGGGGATCAACGGTGCTAAGATATTATGTATATTATAAATACATATCATATGTGTGTATATATATACACATTATTATACATATCATATATATATATATATTATGTATATTATATATATATTATATATATATATTATATATATATATACTTTATGGTACCCTGCCCATGTGGACCAGGGTTATTGGTTTTAGCTGTGATATATGTTTCTATATATATATATATACATATGTATATATGTGGGCAAATTATGGCGGCCTCGCTTGGGTGCTTTGCACGTCATGATGAAGGGTTCGTTTACAAGGTGGCATTTCTTGTTGTCGGTCTGTGATCTGATAGAATTTGCCAATAAATTATGGATGTTTCCCAGTCACCATTAGCTCAAGCCCACTTGTGAAATGACAGTTGATGACAGTAGTACTTGGGCCACGTGCTTTTCTTACATCACATTTTTCTGGGATCACTATATCGGTCTCTTTTCTTGGGCGTGGTGTTCCTCTTAGATTTTAAGGCTCGCTCCATGTGTTGAGTGGGTTGTTCAAACGCAATCCGCAAGATTCTTATGCCAGAAGGCGGTGAATGCCTTTGTTGGTAGTGGGGTCCCATTTCACTGTAGATTACAGATTAGGATTAGGGATTCCCTCAATTCGAACGACCAGTTTGGGAAGTCTGTTTGGTTTGAAAAGGGAAACCAGAGGGAAAACGAAAGCCCAATTTTTGGGTTGGTGGGGGCATGTTGAAACTTGCATATACGAGACCCTATAGAAGAAGTTGTCGGCCAGATGTCGATACTGTTTGCTTCAGGTGCGGGGAGATGTCAAGGACTAAGGACCCTTGCAGATGGTTGTTTTCATGTTGGTCCTCTTCAAAATACAGCTCAAAATTGTTTGATACGCAGCCAGCTGGCATTATTGCAAAGACACTTGGATCCCTAACAGTGTAGAAAGCCTCTTGGCTTGTGTCCATTCCGCTAAACATGGGTCAAAAGGCAAACCTTTATCTTGCTCAATCAGACAGGAAGTCTTTCATTTCCCACCTGTTTGTTTGCTCTTGGACAAAGCATGTCAAATTTGTTCAATTTGCACCAGTGGAAGCCGGGGATGAGGGTTACTCCCAACAAAGGGCCCCTTCCCAACACATGTTATTTTGTCGGTGCAAGAAAAGTAATGTAGTTATCCGCGATGGTTCCATTTGGGGTGGGATCCTGTTCAGGATGTGCTGCGCGTTTCGATTGCTGCGATGCATACCACCACTTGAACCAAGCGTGAATGAGCCAGTGGCCAGTTGCTGATGAGGAGTCAAGGGAGCATACTATTTGTGATTTGAAGGGTGCCTGCTGTGAAGTGCTTGAGCTGAAATGGGAACCATTGATTCATGAAGCCCTCAAGCCCTTGGTTGAAGCATCGGAAATCCCATTTTAGAGCGGATCCCTCATTTTCATTTTGGGGGCTGAGCACACTGGTTAAATCTCCAGGTTCTCGGATTTTGGGTCGCAATCAGTGGATAATGCAAAGACATGGTGACACCCGACGCCGAAGGTGGACGATCACCGCAATTCTTTGCGTGAGCTCGTGAGCGATATCGCAGACGACCCCGACTCAGTATGTCAAAGGCCGATTTTATACGTCCATACGTGAGCTCATGGCGTTTTGGACCTTTTGGAGCCCGTTCTCCCGTGAAGTCATCAACGGACCTGTTGGGAGGCTTGCCCCCGCAACAAAAGGTCCACCGTTTGGCGACCTCCAGCCTTGGTTTAAGTTTTGGTTTCAGAGTTGGGTGATTGTGCAAGTTGAATGAAGCGAGGTGCATTCCCCCTCCAAGAACCCAACAACCCGGGGATCAACCCTGAGGGTGCTCCCCTACAGATCAATCTGTATTTGGCTGCGCTTTGGTATTTCGGATCTTCAACCTTCCACATTGCGGACTACCCTCCCACCAGCTAACATAGAAGTGCACAGACCCCTGTAGAAAGACTACTTTCCTTTTGGAAAGGGCCTTTTTGCACTTCCATGTTAGTTGGTGGGAGGGTAATCACAGAAAGTTTAAGTTTTTTGCAGACGGGCAGTAGCCACAGCGAAGGGGAGTGGCCAAAACAGGGAACCACGCCATCGCCTCAGGTGATCGCAGCCCGGGCAGCTGATGGCAAGAATTTCGGTCACGCGCTAAGTGAGGTGGAGCTCGCACCCCCGGCCAGGGCGGCCAAAGGAAACCAAAACGTAGGCGTTCTATTGGAGACAAGCCGAGGGTCGGGTGTGGAAAGGACGGCTTGTCACGATTGCTTGGCTGTACGACTGGTGGAGCGCAAATCCCCGAGAAATCTTGGCAGTCTGTGGCCACGACAAAAAGGCAACAATTTCCGAACGGCACCGACATTGGCTCTCTGTGTATATACGTATATAAGGGGGTTCGGTTCTTCAAGAGAATGGCTTGCATCAAGTCCAATAGCAGTCCAGAATAATTACTCTGACTTTCAAAAGGCAGCAAGAGCATGGAAAGAGGTGAAAGTGGCCAGAAAAAATGCGGCTTTGTCCCTCTTGTTCGTTTCTATATACAGGCTGTTGTCGGGGATGTTCCCACCATTCCTCGAGCCAGACCCAGATTGCGCAACTTATGAGCTGTCCCCATTAGTTTGCTAAGGTTAAAATGGATCAGTGACTGTGTCAACTTCGGGGGTTTTCAAGTTGAGGAACCCCGGATGCCTGTGGTGCTCCACTGTTCGGGCACCGCGGAACTCATCCGTCACTTGTCGCGTCATCAGGCACTATCCTCGTCGCTGAGGGCTTGCTTGCCAGGACCTCATGTCACCGCTAGCGAATGTCCAACAAAACCATCTTGAAAACCAACGCGCTCCAATATCGTCAAAAGAAGAACATGAGGCAGAGCAGCGCTTCCATTTCGGATGAACTCAAGTTTATAAACAAAAAAAACGTGGGCATTTGGCCTGGTCTGGTCCTCGACCTTCCCATCTCCGATGTGTTCAATGTTGTTTGTGCTTCCGGTGATCGGAAGCCAGGCTTCCTCAACTTCGAGGGGGTCCTTTTGTTGTGGGATCCTTTCCTTGTGAGGGGAACAACCCCTTATTAGTTGATCCAGCAAGTGTATAAATCCGGGGTCACAAGGCGGTTTCCCCATGAAGATTTACTCACATCCCTTTGCTCGCATGCTTTGTCCTTGACGGTTTTGCTCACTCCAGGTTGCTTTTGAGGAGAACTCCCAACTATGACAGGTTCCCCTGTTTTGTGGCTGACAGCTCCTTTTGGTCATTAATTCAAACTTAGTGTCCGTTTCTGATTCCTTTGAGTTCTGGTAGCTTGGAACTATAGGGAGCCTGAGACATCCTGAAACAAATGACGCACGTAGCGTTTTGCGATGCTACACCAACAAGACTTCAGCAAGCAATCAGAACCGTTTAATGGGTTCGGGAATGGTTCCCAACTTTTACCTTCTGCTTTTTGGTCGCCAAGAATCCATGACAAAGCTCTTCCCAAGGCTTTCTCAGGGGCGAATGAGGTCACTCCCATGGTTTCCCCTAGATTAATTACACAGGGGTGTCATTTTGTTAATGGTACCCTGTTTGCGGCTGCTACAAAGGGGGGGAAAGCACACATTTGGGAGGCAAGCCATATGTGAGGTACGGTGAACATATCCAGTAGTCTATGGTGCATTTGGGAGCAATATGGGGGGGGGGGCTTACTAAATTTGTCACGCCGCCCCTGAAATGAGTCCTGTAAATTCATGCCGCACAAGTATTTCAAGTAGGGAACAAGGTCTTCCAGTCTGTAAATTCATGCCGCACAAGTATTTAAAGGAAGGAACAATGTATATCCAGCCTGTAAATTCAAAACCTTGTGTTGTGGTTGGTTTACTTGAGCCTGTAAATTCATTGCCAGAAATGGTGGTTGGTGTACGTGCAAGATTGAGGTTGGGGACGCATGGCAAAACCACGTTGGATGCAAGGCGGCCATCCCCGAGTTCCGCACCCTGATCTCGGAGCTGGAGACCTTGCCGATGCCCAGCACCGTTGAGAAGGCGCGCGAAGGGAGGATTTTGGGAGGAACCTGTCCCGGAAGGACAGGTCAAAAGGCTTGGCTGCTTGTAAACAAATGAAATATTCAGAGTCATGAGGTTGTTCTTCTTTCCAATGTTAGAAACAGGTTGGGCAGTTTGGGAATTTTTGGGCCTATCTAGCCAATGTACCTCAAACCACCTTGTTGCGCGGAGTGTAGACTTTGGCTGACGCATGAGGAGGAAACTGATTGGGCTGAACAGGGATGGTTATAAAACCGAACTGAGAGTCTATAAGTGAATTTCTAAACAGGAGGGACATGGGTAAACCCTAGTTGCAATTTTTATCAAACCCCAACTGAGAAGGGAACCCTCACAACCCGAACTCTTGACAATGGACAAGCAAGGCTCGTGCTAAAAACAGCAAGAATGGTCGAATGCCGTATGTCCCCTCCGGACGTATGAATTACAACAAGCGAGATTCACAATATGGTATATTGAATTAATTGATGTGTGGTGTGTATGAAGTGGGTACGAATGATGTTGATCGTTTCAATTGTATCAGCTGGAAGAGCGTTGTATGTGCGGTACTCCTCAAGTCAACGTTGGCCCTTTTGGAAGGCGGGTTTGATCGCCCAAGCTGTTTCTGGATAGGGCATAACGCCTTTTGAGAAGTGGCTGTCGGTGAGCAAAGCACACTGATGTATCAGCGAGGCATGTGTGACATGTGCGCGCACAGGCCCCACTTGTTTTTCCAAAACGCAAGAGCGACGTTTCGGCCCTGGAATGGTTTTCAGAACCTTTGCAAGAACCCCTTCTATATGGCTGTGGGTCAAAACCAATGGTACCATTTTGGGGTAGGTGCACCACCCATTTTAGTCTATTTCAGTGGGGATTGGGATGTTCACTGGGGGTACGGGATTTGACCCATGGACATATGAGCAGGTTCGAGAATATCCCGAGTAGTGGGAGCGCATGTGCTTTTTTCACAACAAACAGCCGGAGGTGCTGCCCGAGTTGACCACGTGGCTGGCTCCCCAGCATGTCGCCACTGGAAGTCATCCGTGTGTTGCCAAGCGGCGCCTGGATTTGAAGGACCGGATGTGACTTGTTGCTTCGGGCCAGTTTTGGGCCATTTGGGCTTGTCTCTCAGAATTTAAAGCCCTCTACAAATAGTGGTTCCCGCTCTCAATGTAACCCCCAAAAACGGGGATCTTAACACAGAAAGACACCGATTTTCAGTCGTAGCAAGCAGATCGGCCTGCCGATGCGTGAGGTCTGCGGCTTTGTTCAACAGCCTGCCAGAGTTCATCCAGAAACAGCTCTTGCTGGAGAGGCCGGCTGGAAGGGTGTACTCCCCAGATGAACATGGAATTTCATACCCCAAGGCTCCTCAATTGCGGAATCTCCTGGGCATTGAATCCCTTGACTTTCCGTAAATCACCCCTCCTTTGGTGTTTTTGAATGAAAACATTAAAGGAGAATACTGATGCCATGCTTACTTGCACAACGCCGACCTTTTGACCTTTTAGTTTTCCGGGTTTGGTCTATTTTTAGTCATGACCCCAAAAGGTGAACCTTTTGTTTCCAGGTCTTTTGGGCAAGTGAGCATGAGGGGGGTCGTTGATATTCGTTGATAGAAAAGCTAAAGTTTCAGGGTATTTGGGTGTGTCCTTTCCTTTTTTGAGGCTCGGTACCCCTCTCTTGGTGGTTTTAAAGGAAAACCAAAGCTCTGGCTCGAGCTCCTTCCAGAGGTGGAGCGGTTCACCACTGATCGCCGAGGGATCAAGCAATGGATGAGGTGATCACCAAGCACGGCACCGACACCTTCAGCGTGGTCGCCAAGGTGGTTGCCCACGACGAGTTCGGTGGCTTCACCAAGATGGAGGGCCTCTCCCCGATCCAGCACTTCTTGGTGCGCTCCATCATGGGCGAGATCGGTGAAACCTGGACTATGTATGACTACCAGACCTACGGTGAGGTGGACACCCTCCCCCTTGTTGAGCCATCGCCGGAGGGAGTTGCTTTCCCCCATCCACAACATGCACATGACCTGCTCACTGGCTGGGACTTTTGCGCTGGCATCGGAGCTTTGGGCTGGGGAGCCAACTTCGCAGGAGTCTCCCTCGCAGGACATGTGGATGAAGGCCGGCTAGCCTGCTTAGCCACACGGCTCAATAGCAATGCCCCCATCATCCAGGGGGACATCAAGAACATCAAGACCACCAAGCAGGTGCATCAGCACTCCAAGGGAACCAAGCCACTCATAATGGCAGGATTCCCATGCCAACCCTTCTCAAGACAAGGCCTTCAGCTCGGAGAGAAGGACCCACGGTTCCAGACCCTTCCCGCACTCCTACGCTCTGCATGGCTGCTAGGAGCCTCAGGACTCCTCATGGAATGTGTGCCTGAGGTCAAGAGCTCACAGCCGGCTATGGAACACATCCGCCGCTTTGCGGAAGCAAAGGATCTGACCATGCAGGACACCATCCTGGAGCTCGCAGACAGGTGGCTATGCAGGAGGAAACGTTGGTGGGCCTTGCTCACCCCCAGATCGCTGCCAACACCCACACTGCAGACTTGGCCCAAATCTGAAGTGGACTACTACCCGCACAACCTCATCTCCGAATGGCCAATCTGGCCCATCAAGGAAGAACAGCAGCTGAAGTGGACCGAGCAGGAGCGCAACTACTACGACGACCCCACCTATAGCCAAGACCTCAGACAGATTGACCTCATGAAAAAGATCCCTACAGCGGTCCACTCGTGGGGATCTGCATTGTCCGCTTGTCCCTGCGGCTGTCGGCAACAAGGCTTCTCCGAGAGATGGCTACGACAGGGCGGACTTCGCGGATTTGCGGTGCACTCCAAGCACCTAGGAGCAAGACGCTTCCCACACCCTGGAGAAGTCGCCTTTTGGAATACGATCCCGGCATCCTACAGACAACTCAAAACAGCACGGGCCGCTCTGGCGATGCTAGGACAGATGGCAGCACCAATGCAAAGTGCCTGGGTCACAGCACACCTGGCCTCGGCAGTGTTCGCTTCCCAGGGACGCCAGGCACACACACCTCTTCAAGTTGTCTCCCTTTGGCACGAACGCCTCCTCCGAGAAGCTGCCGATCTCTGGGTACTACCTTCAATGTACATTTCACGCTCCATCACCCTGGAAATTGAGGACGTGATCCATCAAGTTCAAGTGCAACACCCAACCACGGCTTTTGAACTCGTTCGGGCCGAATCAGACCTCGCTGGATGGGGGCACCGCGTCAAGCCCTATGAGGGGCAACGTGAGCTTCACGGACTCACACTTCTCCACCACAACTGCAAGTACCACGTGGAACTCTCCACCAAGCGACAGCGAGTAGCGCTCCAGCAGAACCTGTGCGAGGTATACCTGCATGAACCCGGACAACTCCAGCACATCAGGGTGCCACAGGGAACCTTCATCATGCACGTCTTGAACTGGCTTGGGGCCACTACGGCCAGACTTGAAGGCAGAGCACTCCCACCAGGCTCTCGCATTTGGACCTGCCTCGCCCTGGAGATCTCCGGTGCAGGATACCAAGGCCAGAAATGCAGCGACGACTCCATCTATGGCACCCTCCAAGCACTCCTCAAGCTCTCCAACAACCTGGGCAACACACCCTGGACAGCACTCTCGCCAAGAGAGGCAAAGATACTCGAGGTTGCACCAACGGAGCTGCTCACCCAGGCAGACACCTTCAGGCAGACGCTCAATTTCACCGAGAAGTTGATCCTCGTCTTCGAGGACGAAGGACACTGGACCGTTCTCCAGGTCACACTTGAGGAGAACGGTCTGCAGGGCAAGGTTTTCAATGGCTATCCGCAAATCCCACAGGCCACCTACACCCTGATGAACCAGATCGGCATCCTTTGGGGACACCAAGATTGGCACCTCCACCTTCACTCCTGGTTCCAGCAAAAAGGAGACAACGAATGTGGAGCCATCGTGATACAGCACGTCTGCCGCATCCTGGACCTCTGGAACAACTTCACGGACGAGGACACAAGAGCTTGGCACGCACACCTGCTCTCCCTGGACACCTCAATTCATGCCTGGAGGGCAGCCGGCCCCAACCCGGACAAACTCACCAATGACCTCATCGCGGTCCTGCAGCAACAGGGAGTCCCTGCCAACGCAGTTGAGCAAAGGGCCTCTGCCGCCATCAAGCAGATCGGTAGAAAGGAGCTCCTCCAAGCGCTCCAGCAGGGGAATGTCTGGCAATCGCTCAAGTCGCTAGCGAACCAATCCAAGTTTCGATTCCGCTGGGTGCTCCCAGAGGAACTGAACGTTCAGGTTCAGAAACGTGCTGCAGATCGCTATGGAGCTTCGAAGCCAAGCAAAGCCGGCAAAAGCACCCGAGAGCAGAAAGTCCGTGCTCCACCGGTTGTCGAGGTCGACCCCAACAGCGTCATCCTCAAGGAAGGCACCTTCGTCGACGAGGACTCCAACCCGATCCCACAACTCAAGATCGGATCCATCGCGGCAAACGCCAGAGGAATCGCGATCGCCACGGCCAAGGACCTCATTCCCTTCCTCAAGGAAAACAAGAACATCAGCCCAGATGCCCTCGCACTGCTCACCACACAAGTGCTGCCGGATGAGCTACGCGGCACACACCCCACGGTGGACATCCAGTACCCGGCCATCTTCCAAGAGACCGAGGAAGCCATCCTGCTTAGAGGCACCCTCGTCAACATCGGGGACGTCTCCATCAGCAAGAAGGTCTCCATCCTGAAAAACGAGGTCGAGGCAGTCGAGACAGCCATCATCAAGCTTAGCGCCTTCAAGGATGAGCTCGGAACCCACTGGGAGGACTTCACCACCACACCAGCACGTGCCTTCATCAAGGGCCTAGACCCGCTCAACATTTGCCGCACCACGACATGCTCAGGCAACTGCCAAAAGTACCACCCCGCCGTCGAGGAGGACATAGTCAAGGTCGTCCAGGACTTTTGGGGCAGATCATACTACAAGACCGTGGGCGGCAAGGTTGAACCCTCCGACGCCGAGCTCGTCCAAGCCTATGCAAGAGTGCCCAAACTCGCCCTACTCCCCCTCTGTAAGGAGTCGGGCCAGAACGGCATCTACGTCGAGCCGAGATCAGAGGACAGCCTCGGACCAAGCAAGGCCTTCGCCATCATTTGGCTCCCTGGACAATCGCTGGCGGACGCCAAGCACCACCTGGCAATGCAGCCAAAAGCAATCGGCCTAGCCAGGCTAGGCAACAAATGGGGGCTTCGCACCGCGGTTGATGATGAGGCCGCCCTCTTCCAGGTTGTCAGACCGGGGCACACCTTCATCCAGATCAAGATCAACTTCATCTTCAAGATTTACCCTCTCCCCTTCGGCATCCAAAGGGCCGGCGTACAACAACTCCTGCAACAGTGGAAGTGGGACTCAAAGCCACTGCAACCAACAAGGGGAAGCCCAGCGGGCAGTGCGTGGGAGATTGGCGCCGAAAAAAATCCTCCCAGCTTCACTATGCCCGGCCCCTCTGGAGACGTGCTGATCGTTCTGGTCAGGCAGGTTGGACGCAAAGCCGAAGAAGGACCTCAAGCCATCATCCCCATCAAGACCCGTAGATTCCTCCAAGGAGATCGCCGAGCCGGGCCAGCCAGCCAAAGCGAACAACCTGGCCACGATCCGTGGCAAAATGGAAAAGACCCCTGGGCAAGCTGGTTCACCAACTCCGAGCACGGCACCTCGCATGCAGCCCCGGGATCAACGGTCAAAAAACTGGATGAGTTGGAACATCAACTCACCAATCAGGTCAAGGAAGCAGTCCAACGAGAAATCGCAAAACAGCCCGACATGGATGTGGACATGCACAACAGCAGAGTCGACAGGCTGGAGACCTCAATCTCGGAGCTCACCTCGCAGCAGCAGCGCTTTGAGGAATGGTTCCAACATGCCGGCCAACGTCACAACGAGCTCCAAGGACAGGTGTCTTCTCTTTGCCTCACTGTTGAGCAGCAGCAGGCGGACATCTCCCAAATCAAACAGGAGGTCCACGAGCAGCCCACGGCCATCCACCATGCGGTCAGCAACGCCATGCAATCGGTGCAGGCCAACCTTCAGACACAGCTCAGCTCGCAGTTCCAAATGCTGCAGGACTCCTTGGCCGCCTTCTCCGCAAATGCAGAGCACGCGGACAAGAAGCATCGTGGAGAATGACTAGGTCAACGTGGGCCCTCCCCTCGACCAAGGAGGGCGCCACCATGGCTAAGCGGTCGATTTCGGATTTGGACGCAGCTCCTACTCCTCTTCTGCACTCACACCACACAGGCGGCATACACTCCGGAACCTCCCCGTGCCCGGCACTCTGTTCTCAGCGCAGCGCCCCCCGGGGGCGACTGCGATCTTGGGTCCGGGGCCTACTGGAGTGAAACCCGCCGCTGGGGTGAAGCCAGACACCCGGGACCCCCAGCTGGGGTATGGCTGGGAACAACCAATCCTTCCGGCCTTCGAAGCAAGGTCGCTACAGCTTTAGACCTGGGACCAGGTATGTGGTTCTTCACCGAGACCCAGCTTTCTGAAGCTACAATCCCAACAGTACGCAAAGCACTCCAACATGGTGCTTACCAACAACACCGGCAAGTCAGAGTGATCACCGGCGCTGCGGCTCCGCTTGGGAGAACATCCACCTGGGCAGGTTCCTGGACCGGCGTCCTTGCGTTGGCGGACTTCCCATCCCGGGAGACCCGCATCCCGTGGCACAACATGGCCTACACCACTGGCAGAGTCGCAATCACCGCCCACATGGTCGATCACGCGCAGATCACGGTGGCCACGGTCTATGGCTACGCCAAAGGCCCTACCTTTCCCCACGCTCACGCCCATACAGATGAGCTACTACAAAACCTCACCACGCACCTTGTGCTTGGCCAGACAGGCGCGCGTGTCATCCTGGGCGACTTGAACGCCACCGAAAGCCAGCTGCCACAACTGGCGATTTGGAAGGAGCAAGGCTGGATCGAATGCCAAACTCTCGCACTACACCGATGGGGAGCTCCAATTCGCCACACATGCAAAGGCGCCACGCAGAGAGATTATATCTACCTCTCACCAGAAGCTGCTGCACTATGCCACGAGGTGAGTATAGAGAATCACTTCCACGAGCACAGTACGGTCTCCATCAGGCTACAACTGGAAGAAGCTCCCCGCGCTCAGCAGGTGTGGAAACACCCGGCCACGATACCCTGGGATCAGGTGCGTCAAGCCGAACTCCCTCATTCCCTGCGCTCTATGCAGACCCAACCTCACGGAGACTCAACCACCTGGTACCGACAGTGGGGACGCTCTTTCGAAGCCGCCGTCCAAGACCACGCAGCACACCCTCTGCCTGCGAAGTGCAAGGGGAGATGCCAACAACTTGCTCCTCATGTACAACCACCACAGAAGCCTCTCTCCAAACCAAGCCGACAAGGGGAGGTTATCCTCTACAACGACTTCATCGGATGGGCGGTAGCCCGCTGGTTCTCCCAACTCAGACGCCTCCAGTCGCTGAAGCACGCCATCAACGGGTGCAACAATTCCGAGCAGGCTAAGGAGAACATAACGCTGCACTGGAATAGCATCTTGCGGGCCAAGGGTTTCGCCCCACGCTTCCTGCTTTGGTGGCCTACACGCAAAATCAAACTTCTCGGCAGTCCCGCCGACCTGCAACGTGTCCAACTTACTCCGGACACAGTGGATCAGATCTACGACGACTTCCACCAGAATTTCAGGGACTTCGAAGCCTTCCACAATCGAAGCCGCAACCAAGTGCTGAAGGAGCGCTACGACGCCAACCGACACCTGATCTACAAGTTCCTCAGGCGAACAAAGCCCTCGCTGGTAGACTCCCTGCTGGAGGAAAAGCATGCCACCATCCTGGCCTACGATCCTGACACCCAACAGGTGCACCTGGACTGCGACATGCAGCTCACACAGTCCGAAACCCTGGGCCAGGTAGACGGGATCCCAGCTACCATCACCAACCAGAGTAACGACCTTGCTCAAATACATATGGAAACCACTCCTCTACCTGGACAAGCGCTTACGCTCAACAGCTTCATCACCAAGGAAGAGGAACTCCACCGCCAATTTCATGACGAATGGAGCCAACGCTGGAACAAACACGCGCAAATCCCGGAGGAACAGTGGGCTCGGATCCTCAACTTCGGCTACCACTTCCTGCCCAAGGGCGAGTACCCCATCCCTCAAATCCAGCCGGAAGATTGGCGACAAACTGCAAAAGCTCTACGGCCCACAGCCGCCCGAGGCCCGGATGGGCTCGTGCGGGATGACCTTCTCAACATTCCATCACGGCTCCTGGAGAACCTCATCGGCATGTTCCACTCCATCGAGGAGGGCGCTGCAGATTGGCCAGCACAACTCCTCCAAGGAACAGTCCTGGCCACGGCCAAGAAGGCGGAATCACTGCAAGTCCTGGACTTCCGCCCCATAGTGATCTACGGCGCCCCATATCGTATCTGGTCCAGCCTGAGGGCCAAGGCCTGCCTCAAGCACCTCGCCCACCAGTGCGACTTCAACATGTACGGCTTTCTTCCGGGACGCGAAGCTTCACAATACTGGTACGAACAACAAGCCTGGGTGGAGCTCAGCCTCCAGGGCCAATCATCGCTTGGAGGCTGGTGTAGCGACATCCAGAAATGCTTCAACGCACTCCCACGACTTCCACTACTACAACTGGCCCTTCACCTCGGCATTCCTGCGGGAATTGTCCGGGCTTGGGCCAACTTCCTCAACCACAGTTCAAGAAGATTTCAAATCAGAGGTGGCCTTGGAGAAGCGATCTTGGCAACCACTGGCCTTCCTGAAGGCTGTGCATTGAGCACGGTAGCCATGTGCATTCTGGACATGAGCTACCACCTCTACTTCAAGGCCTTCCTCCCCACGGTACAGACCTACAGCTACGTGGACAACCTGGCAGTCCAAGCCTACACCGCGGGCGAACTGCTTCGTGCCTGGATCGCCTACCTGGCCTTCTGCGACATGTGGCAAATTGAACCTGACACAGAAAAGTCACTGGCTTGGTCACTGGACCCTAAGATGACCCAGCAGGCGCAACTGATTGGCCCGCATGTCGTCACGGAGATGAAAGACCTGGGTGGCCACATGACCTTCAAAATCAAGCAGACATCCCGTCCAACAACCACAAAGACACAATCCACTGATTGGGAGTGGGAGAGGCTTCGTCGTGCGCCCGCTCCATACAACCAGAAGACCAACGCTCTCTTCATCAAATTCTGGCCGGCCATCTTCTACGGTACCTCAATCAGCCAGGTCACGGACAAAGCAGTTCACCAACTACGAACACAGGCGACAAAAGCCCTTCAAGCACAACGAGCGGGCTCCAATGCCCTTCTTCGGCTTTGCCTCTGCCCCAATATGCTGGCTGACCCGGGTTTCTTCCGACTGCAAATGGTCATCCGTGAACTGCGCCGGATGTGCCGGAAACTTCCCGCGCTGGTTGGACTCTGGCGCGCATTTCACAGACGCTTTGATGGTACACTCTTTGCCGGCCCCTTCTCACAAGTGCTGACCTGCCTCAACCAGATTGGCTGGCTCCTACTCGAACCTCCCCTCATTAAGGACCACAATGGCTGTGTTCATGACCTACTGGACATCGACCACAAGCTTCTCCGCCTCCAACTCCAAGAAGCATGGGCGCAGCACGTGGCAAAGCAAGTGCAGCACCGCAAAACAATGAGCGACCTGGAGGGGCTGGATCTTCACCTCTCCAACCCGGACACCGGACGGCTCACTGCACTTCAGCTAGCTCGAGTCCGCGCACTTCAAGACGGATCCTTCAGGCTAGCCACCCAGCACGCCAAGTACGACGCCACAAACACAGGACAATGCAAGAGCTGCGGAGTCCCGGAGACAGTGGAGCACCTCTGCCTCCACTGCCCAGCACTTCAGTCACACCGACGAGACCACGAATGGCTAGCCCAACACTGGCCAGATCTCCCAACATGCCTTACGCACCATCTGCTGGTCCCTCGCTTGAAAGGCCATGCCGACTACATCCAGGCCCTGCACAACACCCCGGACGTCTCCGACCGCTTCGAGGAGTTTGAGATGCAGTACCAGACCTACAACCTGTTCACAGATGGCTCTTGTGTGCCCTCAGCGCGGTCACATGGGCCGCTCGAACCACACGGACGGTGCGCATCTGGACCGATTGCCAAATGTGCATCGACGGCTGGGCCCATGAGGAAAACCACAAGCGCCACCACGGCCTCGCCAACATGGACCTCTGGCGACGCATCTGGGCCCAACGGCAGCAGTGCAACATTATGCCGACCATTCACAAGGTGCAGAGTCATCAAGCAGAACACCAACGAGCCACTGCCATCCAAGACTGGGAACACCAGGGCAATTCGGCTGCTGACACAGCAGCAAAAGCAATGCTATACGGCCGAGAACCTCGTCTGCTCGCCCTTCGTGCGGAACTTCTTCTACAGCAAGAACGCTATGGGCGTGCACTGAGGGCGATCAGGGAACTGACGCTCGCCAGAGCAGATTTTGTTGCCTCACCCGAAAACACCGTTGAGGCGATTGAATTCATCCCGCCTACAATGGCTTTTGAAGATAGACCCCTTTCGCTTGAGGCCCAAATTGGCCCACACGGACAAGAGGTTTTTCGTGCGGGCTACCAAGGCCCCCTCCCACTCAGGTTTGTGCGTGACGTTTGCCAGTGGCTGGTCGCTTTTGATGGTGAGAGTGGAGGGGACACCCCCATTAGCTGGTTTGAGTTGGCCATCGCATTTCAATGCATGGGGGGCCAGTTCCCTGTGAGGCACCCTAAGGGTTGGGTCTCGCTTGACACCGCTGGGGTTCACACTGGGGCACCGTCGATCGGTGATCTCATCTTCTGCATGCGGGAAGTAGTTAGGAAGTTTTTCTCCTGGATGGATTGCGAATCCCTGTTTGTTCGCAGCATCGATTGTTCGGCCTTTGGGATCACCTGCTTCAGCGCGGGCATCCGCATTGGAGTGTGCACGCAAACCATCCTCGAGGCTAGGCGGCTCATCTTTGAGATGGCCCAGAGACGCCCTTTCAGGTCAGCGGCGGACTTCGCCCGACCTTGCTAGGCTAGGTTCCGAGGACATCTGGCCTCGCCGCTTAGGCTGCGAGTCAGAGGACGCGAGAGTCGGTGGAGGATAAAGGAAAACCAAAAGGAGAACTGAAGCCAATTTGGGGGCTCCGATTCCACAATGCCGAGCCATTGGTTTGGCTCGGGTCAAGTTCGAGGCAGAGCAACGCCGCGCTGCAGCTCTCCCAGCTGGAGACGGAGCGGCTCATGGCATGGCTGGCGCTGGACCCTGGCGGTGCACGGGGGTGGCGCAGGTGTCCAGACGTGGCGGTTTTCAGGCACTCCCCCAAAAAGAGACACCCAAGCCGGTCGGCCTTCATATTGTGCAACAACCAGGTGCCTGGAGTCTCCCAAACTTTTGGCCCGACATGTGAGAAAAGAAGGTTAGTAAGGGACGATCCCAGCCATAAATAGC